ATGGTTAGAGCGCGAATTTACTGACCGGAAGGTTCGAACCCGACCTCTGCCTCTCGACTTCCCCTGTCTAGGCTTGGGCAACCTGGCAGTATCTCAGCCCTCGTGCCTCCTTCATGTGGCATGGCACCTAGGCACCGAAAGGGTGCTACAGCTGAACGATTGTTATTATCGACCATTGGTTACAGCGTAATACAGCAGACTAAAAATGTTCAGTGGCAGTCTACCGGGCCGTCAAGATGTGGGTTCTGAAAACTTTGGAAGTACGTGGAAACTGCGGGGAACTGAGTCATCTTTTTTTCGGTGACTGAAACAGAACGAACAAGTGTGATGATTTCTCGATGAATATCAATGATCAACTTGGACGCAAGGGGAAACCAGGACACCCAGAACAAAGTTCACGCTAATAGAACCATTGTGGTTGAATTGTTCCGCATGGAAATACCGGGTGTAGCACACCGTACGAGTTATAAAAGCACCCTTCCGGTGCGTAGCTGCCATGTCAGCCGAAGGAGGCACGAGGGTTGAGATAGTGTCAATGTGTCCAAGCCTAGACGAGAGTAGTCGAGATGCAGAGGTTGGATTTGAACCACGAACCTTCCAGTCGATTACTTTCGGCTCACAGTATCGAACTGTTTATGACGAAAAGTGAAAAATGCTCAGTCATTGCGGCATCGTATCGATATAACCAGGCCATAATTTGGACCGTTAATCGGGCAGAGTTTTTCTTCACAGCCAAATATAAGTAATACACTCAGTGCACAAAGCCAAAAAGCACTTGAGTATGTGTAAAACCTCTTCACAGATGGCTTAAATTGGTTCATCCGTGTGCCATTCATGTTGATCATAGACCTAAAACATTGTTTTCTGTTTATCTATCTCAATAAGACAGAAACGGGAGATAAAATGCGAAATGGAATCTTTCTAGACAGCTTCGTTAATCGCAGCACGCGTGACACCGTTCAGAGAGGCAACGAATGAATGTACTTAAGCATGCTTTTGATGCTAAATCAGACGCATTGTTGAGTAAAGTTCACTGAAGCGTAGGCGTACTGTCACTCCCAGACACTTCTCAGCACACCCAGTACTCGATGATGACAAACGCTCACAACGTAACCAATCAGAGGCGAACTGATGTGAAGTTGCGGTGCACATCTGAACACTATTCAATCAGTTTGTTAGAAGACCAATTCTTTTCATGATATATCGATGGTATCTACCCAGATTGTGGCTAGTTTCGTGTTAAGAATCTCTTGCAAGGCCGTTTACTCTCTCGCAAGGAAATAGACGCTCACTCAATCGATAACACGATGAGTAGTACTGCGATTTCGGACTGATGACTACTCAGATCCTCGTTTCGCCTTTTTGTGCTTGTGCAGAAATTCAAACGTGAGGAGGTACCCAGGTTATGTGGCTAGTTTCGTGTTAAGAATCTCTTGCAAGGCCGTTTACTCTCCCGCAAGGAAATAGACGCTCACTCAATCGATAACACGATGAGTAGTACTGCGATTTCGGACTGATGACTACTCAGATCCTCGTTTCGCCTTTTTGTGCTTGTGCAGAAATTCAAACGTGAGGAGGAGAACTTTGTCAGCCAGCATGAAATCGATCATCTGTCTCTGATAGTGCCGTCTGGTGGGGGAAGTTCAAGCCTCGCCCCTCGTACTCGGTCCACTATCAATGGGAAAAGTGACACTGGAGGAGTCAAGCCAAGTGAGTCTGTGGCATGCTGTCAAAAATCCACTACGCCATTTCGTTCTTTTCTGCTTTACCGGCCCGAAATACATTAGTATCTAAACCCTAGAATACTGTTTTCAGTTTGAGGGGGTGGCTTACCGAACCAAGTTCAGGAGAAGTCATTCGTCTCGTTGTTACTCCTTGCTTGGTCGATGGGCTCTAACCCTTAATTCTGTGTGGAGTCTAAGGCTTCCGCAACTATGGTGAAACATTTCATTTTCACGGGAGACTCAACTGAATCTCTCGTTTATGATATTCTACAACTGAATGTGATGCACACAGGTCGCCTCATGACTCAGATGGCACGGTATTCGAGATATCGCAGTATATTTTCTCATAAAGGAAATTACTCACAAGGTTGCTGAAAACTCTTCGACAGCCCACGACCGGTTTCGCCCTTCTTGGGGCTCATCAGGTAGACGCAGTCCCCGGGTTTCCGTCAACCTTATGTTCTACTTGAACTCAGTCCAATTTAGTTTCAAGTGGGACATAAGGGTGACGGAAACTCGGGGACTGCGCCTACCTGATGAGCCCCAAGAAGAGCGAAACCGGTCGTAGGCGGTCGAACAGTTTTCAGCAATCTTGTGAGTAGTTTCCTTTATGATGGAACATGTTCTCTTTTGAGATTCCTGATACAAACCTACCGCCTTTAACTTTTCACTTGCACCCATTGTCCTTGCTCTTGGAGCTGACTGAGTCACTCTTCCCATCATGAATTTGACGATTTTGTCCTCTGTTTTTTCCTGAACGGCCAAACTTCAAAGTTCTGTGCCTTCCTGTATATTCCATCTTTCGATAGTCTCTAAATCTTCGAACAGTTTTAGGCATGGTTCATACTTTTTTTTAAAATTTTTTCGTTTGTCATTTTATGCGCGGATCTTTGGTAGTTGGTTTGTCCCTACTTTTGCAGTCTGCGTTTATGTGTGGCACTCTGTGTAATACTATATATATATATATATATATGCTATATGCATATACTTACCCGTATGTATGTATAGTCCGGAAACGATTCCCAGTAAGTTGGTCTGTTCCCTCAGGTCATGATTATCACGAGTTCAAGACCGAACCATGCATTAATGACAATTACATAGACATAAACTCTCCCCAGCTGCCTTTTGAAGGCCCAAAACAGAATCGCGTTTGACCGCTTTCTTATCGCTACCTTCGTTTGTCAAACCGGGTCACCCTTAAGACAGTTGGGTCGAAATAATTTTTCATCTTGTATAAACTCAATGCATTACTCATAAGGTTACTGATAGGTCTTTGACAACTCACGACCGATTTTTTCCTTGAAATATCATGAATGAAAGATCCAGCTGGATCCCATGTGAGCCTCTTGAAAAACCAACTTTGTTTGCAAATGAGTGTATTTTCCTAATTTTTCATTTTATTTTTTAACACGGGCCATCATTCACAAGCCAGGTTGAAAAAGGTTCGGCAGCTTATTTCCACCTAAGTCCAGCGTTTTAATAGTTACAGTTACAGTTTCAAAAAATTTCAGCGATGGCGGTAAAGCCCAGAAGTTTCTCCCGGAACTTCTCATTTGAAGATCCTATGCTCACGATATCTAGGGGGGAAATTTGTGGAAGCCTGCTATTACCCGACGCATTTCACATCAGATTGGAACCTCATCACCGCAGCTCTCAAAAAATTTATACTATCCTGCAGATCATCGTATGCGTGGTTGCTACTGGTAGCTCTGTCTCAATGAAAATGAGTCAGGAGTACCTTCACGCCTCATGGAATTCCCTTAGTTCACTCGCCCCAAGCGAGTCAGGCGATGAATAGCTGGGAGAGATCGACAAAGACTGCATTTACTACGAAGCTCAAGTAAGGCATTTGTGGATCGATTAAACGGCCACTGTAGTTGAGTTAGTCACTTACGCGCATACTTAGTATGCGACTGAAATTCGAGAAAATCTCTCACCTCGAGCGCAGGGGTTCCCTAAGGTTCCAGTTGGGCTAGTATTCGCGCTATCAAGGCATTTCCCCCCCAGGACGACTTGATCTGGTTATGGCTGCGATCTAGGCTTCCAATGACAACACAATGTTACGAAAAATTAGTAGTATGGTTCATTTGTTTCTCGTCACTTCTTCCAGGGATGCGTGCCAAAGGTACAAGTCACACAAGTCTCACGGTGGCTTGCATCAAACGTCTGTTACCAATCGGTGAGTAAAATGTACTTTTATCTATTGGGTATACTTTCCCGTATGATCTGATTTCGACTATAGCCCCGACGATAACTTTGATTGGTTTTGCTGTTTGTCAGTCCTTTATTTTGTCTCAACATGAACGGTAATTTGATGATTTGTGTACAATGTGGCGTTGAACGCACCGTGTTCCTTTTTAGGCTTGAGTTTACTCGGAGGACGTGAACAAGAACTGGTCTTGTGCGCCAAAAGGAAGCTTATTCGGGTGAGTCTTTTTCAGACTCCGGTTGAGTTCCTCCTATCAATCACTGAGTACATTGAATTTATCTTTTTTTTCCACTGGTATGGATTCGTGTCCGTCTGTCGTAAGGGACCCCACATGAAACTAAGTCACTCGCACATCTCTACGGTACAAATGGCTGACTGATCGATGCTTGATTGTTGACAGGTCGAAGCTGAGCTAATGACGTATCCCCGTGATCCGAACCAACAGGTGTGACAGCGGTCTGACACTACATGGACCTGTTTATTGTGTGTAATCATCTGTCGAGACGGTGCTCCAAAGGCGACATCCCTCTGCACTCGAATTGTGGGCCTGTTATGAAGTTGGCAGAATGTCTCTTAGTGTGGTACAAATCATTAAAGGTTCGCTTTATGGGAATGACTGCCAACCACTAATGTAGTCCCGAGTTCAGCGAAATGCACTCATTTGCAAACTAATTTGTTTTCGCGAGAGATTCGCCTGGAATCCAACTGAATCTTTCGCTTGTGATGTTCTCCGGCAACTGAATGTGCTGCACCAGGCCGCCTAATGTTTCAGTCGCTACGATATTCGAGATATCGCAATATAGGTATATTCGTAATGCACTACTCATAAGGTTGCTGAAAATTCGTCGTCAGCCCAAGACCGGTTTCGCTCTTCTTGGGGCTTATTTGGTAGGCGCTGTCTCCGAGTTTCCGTTAACCTCATGTTCTACTCTGAAACCAAGTTGCACGAAATTTGCGAACTACACTCATTTGCAAACTAATTTGGTTTCGCGAGAGACTCACCTGGAATGTAAGGTTGACGGAAACTCTGGGATTGCGTCTACCTGATGAGTTCCAAGAAGGGCAAAACTGGTCGTGGGCTGTCGACAAATTTTCAGAAACCTCATGAGTAGTGCATTACGAAAAATCCCGAGGTTGTTACCTAGTCAAACAACACCAAGCAGAGTCAACTGACGAATGAAGTTGAACTATCTGATAGAGGTACGCGATGAGGTACCCCCGGTTATTTAAAGGTGGATTGTGACTCCAAATTTGCTGAGCCAATATTGCTTTATGTGAAGATCTACTAAACACTGGGTACCTGACAGTAGAAGCACCCCCCACGGATGGCACATGGCTTCGATTGCTTGACAACCCGGGCCAGCATCAGTTCGCCGAATGATTTCACCTATTGCGCCGCTGCACGCCTGTGTATTTTTGCATTTATCTCATTGTTGGGATGGTTGATTGCTCAAATAAAAGCCGGATTTGTGCTGATTGGTGTTCAACTTACCGAAACTCTCACTTTTATCTTCCTATCTCCCACAATTTCCTGATAACTACTCACTTTAGCTGCCCTTTGTGACGTTTTAGCCACAAAGTCGTCAGGTAAGCGTGGGACGGCTGTAGCTCTTCACCTGAGAAGCACCTACCAATATCTTGCTTGCTTCAGAGGCTGTCATGTAATGGCTTCACTGCTTCATCAGGACTATAAAACTTTTCGTGTAATTCTGCACACTCGTATCGATAAACCAATCCATGTCTTGAATAGATCCACTTCGCCGATAATATCTCGTAAACGGCTATCGAAATGATCATTTTATCACTTTCTGGTTGTGCATTTACAGAATCTCATCCTCAGCTTCGTCATTGACACCACAATGTTTGACACTGAGGCATCACCGGTACACAAAGACAACGATTTTATTTTAAGATCATCTGTTCAAATTGCAGACAGTAGGAAGAGATTGAGAATGAACTTGTTTCTAGTTTGGTTTAAAGATCAATTCCTTTTCTATTCTGCATGTGATAGAATTCATTTCTGAAGACTGCAGCAGAAAACCACCAAATTGGGACGTAGTTAATAGGGTGCGGTTGGCTTTGAGTTCGAGTGAGTAATTCTCACCATAGATTGTGGCCAAAGTGCTCTGTTTACGTTCGGATATACGATTGGATGTAGCTATCATCTTGACACAATTATCGTTATCCCAAAGTTTGGTGTAATTTCCATGAACTCGATGGGCTCTATGAATCCAATATCATTCTTAAGTCAGGAAGATTGTTTACATCAGTCTGTGAATGATACTCATAACTTAGATCCAAAGGAGACTTACCATATAGAATCAGTTGGGGTTTGCTTTCATCTGGGGATGTTACGGAGGGCGCAAATAAGTGATGGCTGCATAGTGCGTCGCCAGACTGTTTCCGTTTTCCGATCCTTGACAGCGTGGCTTCTGATTGGCCCACGGGAACTTCCAATCGTGTTGTCGTATGGTCTGCTTTGTCATCGAGCCTTTTCCTGCCGCACAAAGCAAAACCTGTTAGCGTCAACCTAATTCTGGCTGGAAGTGGAGCTGTTAGGTTCATTGAGATACTTCCGGTGTGGTGACTATAGCACAACGAACGATTTGTCGGCAGTGTACCGATCTTCATCCACTCTATAATGCAATTCTCGCAGTTAGACGTTCCGAGAGGAAACTTTTTGCGTCTCAGTGGAAATCTGAAGAAGACTGGATATCAAGTTACGACGATTAATCGGAGGTGGTCATGCATTTTATCGATCAGATTTGATAGCGGTCTTTCAACCCAAAACCCTGTGACCGGTCGTCTGCGGTTCTGAAGTGACCTGGGAAACTGTCAGATTTGCGTTATATTTTTAGAAATCGAAGAATAAGTCCCATGCATGTTCACAAAACCCACAAAATCCATTCCATTCCGCACCGATTATTGGTTGCTCTGATTGAGTCGAATCTAGTTTAACCATTGCTTATATATAGAATAGAAATACAGAAGACTGCCTTGAATGGTTATTGATTAGTTTGCTGCCTCCGACTGAATGATTTTCAGTTCTATCTTTGTTACCTATCATTTTCATCTGAGTTCCCAAAGTTCTGTTCTGTTTTGTTCTGTTTGACTGTCATGGAATTATTTTTAGTTTTTCAAGTCTGCGCCTATACCACGTCACGTTATCAGTGCAGAAAAAACACAGGCACCAACAGTCACCACCGCCATCATCATCATCATCATCATCATCATCATCATCATCATCATCATCATCATCATCATCATCATTGCCATGACCTCTCATTATCTGCGGTTTTCTCTGTCTCCCTCACAATCCCCATGTCTAATTAGAGCCGAAGGGCAAACAAGTACTTTTTCGGTGAAATTACTGGACCTAAGGTTGTTCCCCCTGTTCACTGTGCTGTGCGCGTGTGTTCGTGCGTGTGTGTGTCTGAAATCCTCTGCATGCATTGCTAGATTGGATCCCTAGTTGAAGCAGATCACCGAAGAGATCTAACTTGAATACAGGAACACTGAGACTCCCCACTCCCTGCCCACTGTTGTTGACATGTTTTGAGAACCGGTATATCCTGTCATTGTTACAAAAACGGTTTTTCGAGAAAATATCAGTGCTTCTAACAATTGCTGTTAGATACTGGAGATTGCCACGGGGGGCGGCATTCGGTAAGTGGTAAATATGTGAATGGTGGCTCAAAGTGGCTAAAACTCGTGAGTCTAACAGGTGGAGAGCAGACTCGAAGGTAGCAAAGGTCACAATTTGTATTATGCTTTCCGCAGTCCTAAATGTAGGATACCAGTAAATGTGAAACCTCGACAAACGGGAGGAAGTGGAAAACTGAATTGGTACTCGTGAACACGTGAACATGAACCGTAACACACAATAGATTTCTAATCATTTTGAATTTGGTGCATTCCATTTCTATCACTCTTTCATCAATTTGCATCGCTATCGTCCCTTGTTCCTCAACCTTAAAGGGCACCACATCGACTGACACCGAAAAGGGATTCGAGAATTTGATTCAGGTAGCTTTCTAACGAGACCACAGCTCACAGCTCGATCAGCTCTCTCCAATTTTGTGACCCGATTTGTCCCGTTCCTGGCTTTACCCGCATAACTTGATCCCCATTTAATTTCTCAAACCTCTATGTGCAGAAAAGAGCGCATTGCACGGCTGCAGCTACCATACCCTCCGTGAATTTGTGTGTACTCATATCTGTCTAAAGCTGTCCGATCTGAATTACTCCCCTATACGCAGACTCGTTTTCCAAGCTTAGGACTTTTGCCGCCCACTCTCTGATTGGCTGTCCACATCATGCTTCGCGATCTGAACCAGGAGAATTTCTCGGTGTTACTTATCGTTCTTCTACCAGGTGCTATATTTTCTAACAGCATGAATCCCTGTGCTTCCCGTTTACTGGCCAGGCGTGTCACATTTGTTTATGGCGCCCATTCTTTGGCACTGGTGTGATCTACAGGGGCTGGCCGTTCGGTCACTTTTCTGTCTGCCTGTCCTAGCTGACTCTGTGTGTCTACCTATTGTCTGTCCGTTTATCTATCTGTCTGTCTGTCTGTCTGTTCCTGTCTACCTATTTGTCTATATGCCTGTTCGTTTCTCTATTTTGTCTACTGATCCGTCTGTCCGTGCGTCTGTCTGTCTGTCGCTCCGTCCGTCTGGGTCTTTGTGTTAGCCTATCCATCTATGTGTGGGTGTTTGTCAACTGACCACCCCTCGTTTGCCTGAGTGCCCTCCACCTCATTGCCCCCAATAGTTTGAGCCTGTTTGTCTGGCCGTGTTACGTTTTCTCGCGTCGTGCTCACATTGTCCGGCACACGCTAAATAGCACCAGCTGTTTTTTCCAACCCAACAGCACGAAGCGGATTCGGATATCGAAAGTTACCTTCACGCAGCTTTGGATCGAGATGGAGACGTGAGTTCTGGACAATTTGGTTTGTGTAACGTCCGAGTGATCTGAGAACCATATTTTTGTGCTTCATAGCTTAGCTTGAAAAACTTACCTCTTTTACTTACTTACCGTCAATGGTGAATGCAATCGTCCCTAGCTTTATTGATTTTCAGATCAAATAGCTGCTTCCCCGTCCGTTACCTAGATTTTTCGGCATTCACATGCAGTTATTAAGCCATTACACAAGCTCAGTTAAATCAGTCACGTGGAATATTAACAGGCTATCAAGTGGCTACGTACAGGCACACACGGTTTGATTGAACCCGCGTACTTGTCGTACAGTGGTTGAAGCTGCCACACTTTTGTTCACTGATGATTTGGGGGTGGAGTGGGGTAGGTAGCTACGCATTGGTGCGTAAATACAGCACTGTCAGTGGGGGAAGAGAGCTATGCACTGAAGGCAACAGCTTGGATGCACGAGTGTCATTGAGGGCGCGACTGGGCCAGATCTGACAATGTCTCTAACCATTGATGTGGCCCGTTTCGGAGTCTCCATCCAGGAAGGCGGCACTGACCAGCACAGCTGAGTTTGTCGCTTAGCGGAATAAACTCATCTGGGAGCCAGTTTGATTTGCAGGAACCCCACCTGGAACCCAGATGAATCTCTCTTTTATGACTGTATTTCGCTAACTTCGTGCAATTTGGGTTCAATTAGAACGTGGGTTTGACGGAAACTTGGGACCGCGCCTACCTGATGAACTCCAAGATGGGTGAAACCCGTCTGGACTCTCGAAGAGTTTTCAGCAGCCTTATGAGTAGTGTAATTAACTGAGCTGTTCTGTTGATCCAGAAACAGTTTATGTAACTGCTCCTCATGTCTGCTGGTTCTGAAAATGAGTATGGTTGTCAAACATGTTGAGCTATTGGACAGAACGGTATTTTGTAATCGAATGAGTTCAGAACTAATCAACGTGGTTAGGATTTTTTTATATTGATGAGAATCCAAGTTTGACAACAACTGGTTTGTGGCAATTCCTCTGTGTGGTCCCGTTGAATTTGGCGCGTTACAAATTATTCGAAGTTTCATATTCTGTTTCAACTTGTGTGGCGAATGTGTGGTTGAACTTTGCACATTGAGACTTCGTTCCAGTTTGATTACATTCCGACACTCATCCGATCGCCTGGTATCTGGTACACAGGAAATTGAAGCCAGTGGTTCAGCAGCGGACAAACACATAACTACGTACAATCAAACCTTGATAGAGTTCATATTCTACTCCAACTAGACACCGAGCTTGATGAATAGATCTTACATTGAATTCCATTCAAAAGAGAAGTTTCAGATGAGAAAATATCCGCATTTGATTGGTGCAATTTGTTGGTGGCCAAGGTCGTCAGTGTCTTTATGCTGGTGGGGCTTAATGCTAGACCGTTGTGACCACTTGGCGTGTTTTCAAAGTATTCTTCTATCGAACAGATCTCCCCTCGCATACCACGTGCAAGCTGTCTGATATTTTAACGAACATCCTCAAGAACCTACATCATCCTATCAGTGCCAGTGAAAGGAAGAAAGCCTTCACTGCAGAGTTATTTGATAGAAAACACCAACTAAACAGTTACAGACTATTGGACAGGAAAGCAAAACTCTCATATGCATCTTGTTTACAGAAACTGAATATCCATCTTCTCCTTGAACGCGTGTTCCTAAACTTTCCTGGATATTCATTGACTATTAATCAAATGCAAACGAATGCTACAAAGCGATTCCACAAATTCCGTACTACATCCCACTTTTCAATAGACGCAGTGCGGAGCTACGAGAAAACATATCACTCGCATGCCTCATGAGTAGTATCCAACGTTATACCAGCTCGCACCCATGAGCTATTTGGCGCATGAGATTGACGCCACTCATTGGCATTTCCATGAATTGACACTGGAAGCCGAGGTTTTTATTGTAATCTGTTGTTTTTTTCTTCCACATTACCTCGGTCCCTGCCATCAGAATATTGCATTTGCTGCCATAAAATTGTGATCGTACGTGACCAGGTTCATTCTACTATTCATTGTTCCATTCAACTCTGCTGGAATCCAGCTGAAAGGTTCGTTTTTATTTCCCGTACAAACAGGTTGAACCGCGAACACAACGTTGGCAGAGACTGCTCTATCAGAAAATCGATAAAACGATTGCACAAACTGGTCGCCATGCGGGACTCGGTGTCTCCACCCGAGATGAAGTCGTTGACCGTATTTTGACGCTTTCCAAAGTGATGCATGGCTTATACTTGGTAAGTGCGAATCGCATCTTCGTGGGCCTGCTCGCAGTTAGTTTCATCAAATTGATCTTGGGTGAATTTCGCTTATTGGTCTAACCGAATTAACCAATCGGCGAATTCGAGGAAGTTTATCCGTGTGGACACAAGTATGTATGCGCTATCCACACTGCGTAATATAGTAATTCTGGTTGCAAGGAAGACGCTTCTCTGTTAGAGAGAAGCAGAGACAACATTAATGCAACCCCGTGACCAGAGAAACAGGCTATAATTGCCGCAGATTATCTGTTGACTGCGCGGTTCCATGGCTCTCTGAGACAAGTATGAATCCGAAATAGATCACCAGGCCCGAAGACCCACGTCTCACTTTGTTTAGCCAGTAATAGATAAGCAGACCTAATACTGAGCTTTATCCTTGTTCGAGGGTTGCCTGTGAAAGGAAGGTCTTCACTGCGGATTTATTAATTAGAAAATGCCAAATGACCAATTACAGACTATTGGACAGGGAAGCAAAACTCTCATTTGCAACTTATTTACAAAAACTGAACATCCATCTTCTCTTGAACGCGTCTTCCTGAATATTCCTGGATATTCACTGACTCAAATCATTCGTTGCTCAAATCCAAGCAAATACCACAAAGCGACTCCACAAATTTCGCAACAGATCTCCTTTTTTCAAGAAACGCAAGGCGAATTTAAAAGAAGAAAACATACTGCTCGCATGCTCCTCATCAGTAGTATCATCGTTACACCTGTAGTGGACTACCTCTTCGGGGAAAATGTTTCTTGGAGGGAGTTTTTTTGTATTCGAGAGTCCTTTACAGGATGTTTGCTTATCAGAGGACTGACGTGTAGCACTCCTCATGACACTCAAGGAATCTGTCATGTCAGTGGATAGACGACGATATGACGAATTCGTTAAACATGTTATGCCCAATGTGTAAAATCATTCACCCTATTCCTAATTCCATGAACTCTATCCTACCCATTATCTTTACCCGAGGCAGCGTTGACGTCACCCTGCAGCTTTGATGTCCGCGCTACAAAAAGACGATGGTGCGTGTATAATAGTGTGAGGGCAGGACAGGACAGTCAACTGTTGGCATTGATGACTCCCAAGAGGGGAAAGAAGCCAACCCAACCACAGGAAACCTTCCAAATATCTTGTTCAGAGTATTGGGTTGAGATACCGTTAATTGAGCGCAAGGGGCCCGCTCTTCAGCACGGACGAAGCCATTGTGTGTGAGAACGGGGAGAAGTAGTTACGTTTTGCACAAGTTTGGCACAACACAGCTGTTAACCCCTTAATCGATCTTACCAACTTCAGCATACACCACTTGTCCCAAGGGCACCAGCCCAAGAGAGGTCACTGCTCTGGTGAGTTTACACCAGCGTTCCCCGTCTACCAGAACCTAGTGTAGTCATTGCCCGTGTCCTGTCATACCCCGTTCCGTTTTGATAGCCGAGGTGTTTGGAGTAGTTTCACAAAGAGGCAGGTCGCTTCCTGGTTCCATATAAATCCTTCATCTCATCCGGATACTTATACAGGCATATCCGACATCATTGTTCGCACTCAGTGCGACTAGATGTGGCTCAAAACATTCCGGTCAGGTTGCCAGTTTATGCGGTACCAATAATCATCCAAAGTGACGGGAACTCCACCTTTGGTTTCCGTAGCTTCCTGACAAAGGTGACTAACATTTACACATTTGGCTGAAGACGGATGCCGGATGATGTTGGTCGATCTGTTGCCTCACCCATAAACCAACTAGGTTAGTTAATTAGTTAGTCATTCAGCTGTAACAGCTTTTCGGTGCCTAGCTGCCGTGTCACCAGAAGGAAACATAAGGGCCGGGATACTGGCCCAAGCCGGACAGAGGAAGTCGAAACGCAAAAGTTGGGTTCGAACCACGGACCGGAAGGTCCGTGGTAAATACGCGCTCTAACAACGGAGCCATATCGCCCCGACCAACTAGATCAATAGGTAGACTAATCATAAACTATAGGATGACTAATGTCCCAGTTAATGATGGAACACGGACCTTCTAAAATTTGATGTATAGGTTTCTTGTAGATCCTTCTTGGCGTTCTTCACCTCTCTCATGGGACGGTCAATCGATTTTCGACACGATTGACCAATCACATTCTGCGAATCACACTGTCCTACACCCATCAATCCGTTTTCAGGTTGATCATCCACCAACGATGGCCAAAGGAGCCTGGAAAAAACTGGTCTCATCCCAAAGAAAGAAGGCGGTCATGGCCTGCTTCCGTATGGTCCCACTCTATGCACTGCCGGTACACCGGGCGGTCAACCTCTTCATCTCATCCTATACACAAGAATGGCTGGACTATGAGGAGTCTTTGGGAGTCAAGCTCATCGAAGATATCACAAACGAGGAGGGTGTAAGTGCGGGCAGTGAGGCCGACTCGGGGTGTGTGTCGGGTACAGCCACACCAGCCAAGTCAACGAGTGGGTATTCATTAGACAGTTCATTCAAATCGATCGAAGGTAAGCAATTATCGCTGTTGATGACATTCTCGAAATAAACAATATGTATACTGGAACCCGCCTTACAAAATAGAGGGTTAGTGTCTTTCAGCAAAGTACGATTTCTGGAATACGAAATCTGTTGACATGGGAAAACAGACAGACTACGATATTAGGAGGCCCTTCTTGCTTGCGCATCTGATGAGCTTCGTATAGGTTCGGGCTAGCGGCTGCCAATTCAGACGAACACCCAACTACTGGTGGCTATTCATCAGTATGAAATTGAGCGAACACTGCCTTGGATACATTATAAACGAGAGACTCAGCTGGACTCCAGCTGAGTCTCTGGCAAAACCGAATAGGTTTCCAAATGAGTGTATTTCGCTAATTTCGTGCAATTTGGTTTCAAGTAGAACATAAGATTGACGCCTACTTGATGAG